AACTGATTTTGGTACTTGTAGAAATATTTCAGAAAGAAATAGATTAAATAAAGAACTTACTCAAGGAATTGGTACTCCTACTTATATGGCACCTGAATGTCTTCAAAACTTTGATTATTCATATCCTATTGATGTTTATGCTTATGGTATTGTATTATATGAAACTTATATTGAAAAAGGAGGATATTCTGATGAAAATGTCTTTGATCAACCTTGGAAAATACCCCAATTTGTTATTGAAGGAAAAAGACTTCCTAAACCTGATGGAATTCCTGAAAATTATTGGCAGTTAACTCAGGATTGTTGGAGTCAAAACCCTGAAGATAGACCAACATTTATTGATGTTTTAAAAGAAATTGAGAAATGGGGATTAGATATAAAATATGCTCTTGTTATTGATTGTGATGAAAAGCCTTCTTCTAATCAATTAATACAGAAGACAGCTGCTGTACAAGATTCATCTTCATCATCACCAAGCGATAATTAATTTTAGTTTTTCTTTTTTAGTTATTGGTTTTTAAAAGAAGTATATTCATTACAAGTCTTTTCTTTATGATATTTTAATTTTTGTATATAAAGATAATTCAGAAATATTTTATTGTTTTAAATAAACATTAAATATCTTCTTTTTGTATTAATTAGTAATAATCACTTAAATATGTTATGTTAACATTTTCTTTTATAACACACTTTCAATCATTCTTTTTATTCAACTTTCATTATATCATACAAACTTTGTTAATGGTTTTTTTTTGTAAATAATAATTATATTATAACTAATATCTCTTTGATGGTAATAGATATAATGTGTAGTTTATAAGATAATATAATTTCTTTTGTTTTATTTATTGATTATTATTATATTTCTTTTAATAAAATAAGATAATCTTAATTTATAGAATAATTCTCACAACATCCTATTTATAATATTATGTAGAATTTTTATCATATTATTTTTCTTAGAGTGACAACACTTGACTCTACCTCTTTTGATGTTGTTTAATGTGAAATTTTATGAAAAAAGTATTCTTTGAGTCTTACAGATAAAAAAAGAATGAATTTAGAAAAATTATTTTGTTGTTTTAAGTGTTGGATATTATCAAAGAACAAGGCATAATAAAATTAATCAACAAAAAGAATAAGCTGCTTATTTAATTATCATTGTAAGAATTTCAAGAGCAATTCTTTATTAAAAAAAGAAGAGGAAGAAATTGGGTTAATAGATTCAATAACATCTTTTACCAATTGTTTGACATCATCTTCACCTGGATTGAGAGTAATTTGATTTTCATTGCTTTGATTTTCTTTTTTCTTTTCTAGTAAATTGATTAACTTAATACATAAATCTTGACGTTGGGTTTTATTAAAGAATGAGAGAAATGTGTTTGAATCTTTTTTAATTTTTTTTTCAACAAGAATACTATCAATTTTGTCTTTAGAGCTTTTTAAAGCCTCTTTTTCAACTCTTCTTCTTTTTGTTCTTCCTCTCATTGTTTTTTCATCACGAAACGAGTTATTTGATTGAGTGATGTAATCTGTTTGAAGATAACACAACGAATCAACATTGAAAGTAGTCATATTTTTAGTCTTTTTTCTTGGAAAAGAAAGAACACACTTCATTCCAACACAACATGCAAACGCAATACAGAGATATTTTTTAGTATCAAACTTGATGAGACTCCTCTCCATCACTTCTTTTTCATATAATAATCAGTAGCATGGATTTAATGAAGATAGATTTAGAAAATGAAGCAACTATGATGTAAATATTGCATCATGAGAAAAAAAAAGATATTAAACAGAACATACATCTTTTTTAAAATCTATTTATAAAATTTATTTGTACTTTTTTTAATTTTTTTTTGATATGAGAAATGATACTCTTATTTCTTTAATTTGTTACACTTCGTTATCAAATTTTATTCTTATTATAACTATTTTGATATAACACATCTTATAAAAATAACTTACTCATTCTTTTTAATTACATTATAATTCGTTTGTTCACCAAATGAATGTAATGACATTTGTGATATTGTTATTCAAATCAGTCTTATATTATTTTTCTCAAAAATTTTTGGATTTAGTCTAAAAATTGAAAAGCTAACGATAGTTAAATAATCTTAGGAGAAGAAACAAAACAAACACTTATTTTCATTTCTCGACATTTATTGTATTATAAAAAAAATAAAAAATTTTCTTCCTATTAGAAGACATTATAATAAATTATCATAAATGTAAATAATTTCAATAGTAATATAATAAATATACTAAAATATTATACTAATAATAATTTAATAATTTACAGATTAAATTATTTTGATATATTTTAATATTATTATGATTTTAATGATTAGTATATTTTGTTAAAAGCATTAAAATGAAGAAAAAGATAAATAAATGGTTTAAATTGTATTAAAAAAGTAAAATTAAATCATAAATAATATAATAAGTAATAATAAAAAATGATAATTTCATTTAATTATAATTCATTAATAATTGCAAACAATGAAAGGGCACAAGCTAATAATGGGGCAACATTATTCCAGATAGTTTCAACATCAATTTCAATATCTTCAAATTCATGAAGTTTAGGTTCCTTTGATAAAGTAATATGTGGAGCAGTTACTGAATCAAATTGAATAATCTTTGTAATTGGTTTAGTGTTTTCATTAAAAGATAAAAGAACATATGCACCTTTATTTCCAACTGTTCCACAATAATTTGGAGCAGAAAATATTGTCATTAATTTATTTTCAATATTCCATTCATATCCATTGATTTTCATTTCATGACTTCTAATAATTAAGTCAAGATGATTTAAATTAAGAAATTCTTGTGTTACATCTGGACCAAAAAAATGTCCAATACCTCTGTAACTTGGACTATTTCCTTTTGCTGCTTGTGGGTCATTCCATAATAATTCTGATTCAATAGAACCATCTTCAGGATCATCTCCACGTCTTAATTGATTAATTCTTTCAATTTCCAAAGGTGTTGGAGGTAATCCTCCATGAACAATAAAAACAGAATTATTAATAAGATGACAATAAGGTAACCAACGAAGTGATCCAGCTACTTCTATAAATGTTTCTTGATCGTATTTACTTTGTACTTCAGTTAAAAATCCATAAGAATAATTAACATCATAAGTTTCATGATTTCCTCTGTTAATAAAGAGTGATTGAGGAAAAGCGATTAAAAAACTATAAAGAGTTAATACAATTTCAATACCAAATACTCCTCGATCAACTAAGTCTCCATTAAATATATATTTATTTGTTGCAGATGGAAGTCCATTTTGTTTAAATAAATTACATAAATCATAAAATTGTCCATGAAGATCACCAACAACTGTAATATGTTCATTTGGTTCAATTGTTACTTTAACTAATCCATCTTTATTTTGTAATATTATATTAGCTTCTTCAACAATCCTAAAAACATCTCTTTTACATAATAATCCTTTACCATTTCCTTCTTTAAAAAATGAATATAATTGATAAGCATAATTTGCATCAATTTTGTCTTTAATTATTGGTCCACAATAATCTTTTTCTAATGGAATCATTTCCCATCTTTTTTTTATCGGTAATATACTAATAAATAATTGGGAAAGTCCAATAAAAATTCCAATAAAACATAAAGACAAAGACAATAATATGCGTGCAATTCCATATCCTGTTACTATAGAAAAGTCACATTGAACTAATTGATAAACTCCAAGGCATAATGTTAATGTTCCTATTATAAGAGAAATTAAATAACTATAAAGTATTTGCATCTTTAAAAATAGTTGTTTTACTATTTAATTTAAGTTCTTTTTTGATATTCTTTTTGTTTAGCATTTATAATTTCTTTATTTTAAATTTTAATTTATTTTTATTTGTATGGTATTGTATAAATAACTCACTTCTTTTTAGTTTTTATGAATTACAAATAAACCATAGTTATTATTGTTAGTTGGAAATACTTATTTATTATAAACTACACTTTATTTATTTTTGTTATTTATTTCTATCTTTTTTAAATTTATTTTTCCTGTTTTCCTCATTTTTTAGTTCTATTTTGGAATATTCTTTTTCTATTTTTATTTCTTTCATTTTTATTTATATTTTGTTATTTAAATTCATTTTGATGTTTTAAAACATTACAAAGAGAAATTAAATGTCAGAAAGACGGAAAGAGAGTGAGTTAAAAGAGAAAATAACTAAAATAATATCAATGAGAGTATGCATAATAAATGATAAAATGCATGCAATAGTATTTATATTGAATCATTGAATGTCATTGTATAATGATAATACAATTTCATTCATTAATAGAATTTGAAGAGAAATGATGTAATGTAAAATGAAAATAATATATAAATAACACCATAAATAATGAATATAACTAAATAATTAAATGAGAATAAATGAAGAATAAA